TCTTCTGCCGGAAAAAGAGGCTTTAGGGAGTGGGTCTAGCTCTTCAAAATCTCAAATTTGAATTCAAAATGGGAATGTCTCATCATTATGTTGGTTCACAAGGACCATTTACCCCAGCTAGGAATTTTGTTATTTTTATTAAGTACCTTTGAAACGCAGCACTGCTCCAAAAAGTACCTATTTCAGGCGGGATTATAACCCGCAGGGCAGTTCCGATGAGGAGACCCCCGTTGGGGGTTATTGTTCTCGCCCTGTGAACTGAGACGCTCGTTCAGGACCCACACTAGGTCAAGTTTTTGGCCTACAGCTCAGCATTTTTGCGCTAAAATTTTGCATGGAGTATGTGATGCTCAGAGTGTGCGGTTTCATACTATATGATAGGCAATTTCGCGTTCAGTGGAAAAGTGTGCTTGGTTCTGTGCTGGTATCATTTTCATCAATTTTCGGGGAATTCAAATGCAAAAATGAGCAGTTTCACGGTTTTTGAGAGAATGCGGAGAACGTTCAATTTTCATAATGGAATTCGGTGTTGATGTGCACGCTCACATTTGTATTTGTCATATTTTCATGTTGGAGACTTTTTCAAAACTTCAAAACAATCTACGCTGATCGTCGTAGGAGGAGAGGTTGGGTGGGAAAGGGGGGGGGTAATAAAGCTCACACCATTTCATGAGTTAGAAACACATCACAGGTCTTACCAAGGTAAGGAGACTGGAGGAATTGGGTTCTCCCCATTTCCCTCTTTGTCCTCCTCCCCCACCCACATCACTAGGGTGGACAGCTCCCAATCTTTAGCCTTTTTTCAAACATTCGTAGGTGAGAGTACACATATGGTTTCTTTCATACTTTGCGGCGGCGTCCACCAGCGTCCACCAGCCACCAGGAGTAGAGAGTGTGGGGAAGTGGGAGGGTAGCAGACTGCTGGTAGAGTATGGGGAAGTAGGAGGGAGCAGACAGCTGGATTAGGCGTCGTGAAATTGCGGCATGTGCAGCCGCACCGTACTAGTATACAACACCGTACTTCTGATCGCTGGTATACCCGAGATCAATATCCATACTTTCCTAGTCTCTTGATACTCTGATGGTCGCTAGCGGACGCTTGTGGACACTAATGGACGCTGGTAGACGCTAGTAGATGCTGCTGCTTGTTGTATCAATATCAACACTTTCCTAGTCGCTGAAGCTGACGGACGCTTGAAACGCTGATGGTCGCTGGTGGATGCCGCAAAGTATGAACGCAGCCCATATGCGGGCAACGTGTGTTCTATAATATTTTGCTTATGAAAAGCGGAGGTGATGGCAAGCAGAAGCAGGAATACGTAGTCCCGCATCTCAAAAATGTGCTGCTCAATTGCGGAAGCCTGAACGTTTCCGTTTTAATTTTGTTTCTAAGCAGCTACTGAAAGCGGGATCTCAATTTATCGGCCTTAACCGGTCTTTCCAGCTGCGATTTCAAGATACTTAATTTTGGCGCGTCTTATGATTTAGTTGACTTGTTCTTAAACCCGTCTGGGTTCGTTTTTTGATCATTCGCCTGTAATTTTATACATTTTAGGTCAGCAAAGCTGCCACAGCTAATAATTGCAGTATTTTTAAATTAAATATATGGATTATTGGACTTGTGTTCAAGGTTAGTTGTTTTGCATAATTTTATTTTCAAGCGCTATTTTCTCCTTACAGCTGAGTTATTCGAAACTCAGGCCAGATTTCGATCGAAACCTTTCCCATGAGGTGGGGTTGGCTAAATATTCGCCCCGTTAGCGTGCTTTCCCCCGTCGCGTGAGCATCCGCTTACCTCCAGAACCACTTGGTGCCCGACTCCACAGGTGCCCACGCCAAATCACAAAAATCGAAAACATCAAATTTGCTGAAAACTTGTTCGAAGAGGTAGTTTTGGCAAGTCACAAATATCATTTGGTCTGAGGAAGACCCTTGGGTATCTGAGCTGTCTAGAAATTGGCCTGTGAGACTAGATCTAGTGGACGTTCTTTCGATAAAAACAATCGATATATTGGGTTAAGCGGCCAACTACACTGGGGGCATGTTCAGGCTGAATCTACTCAGGGCAAAGGAAACACTGCCGCTGTTCGGCTTGGAGGAGCATTCAGCGCTCTTCGCTGATTTGTGTGCTTCTTCACGTTAATTAACAGCTCTCATTTTGCTGAAATCTGTGAACTCTTGTGAACTTGCAATATAGTACAGGAGTTCCGTTTTGGCAACAAGGATTCACAGGTCTTCCACAAGGTGGCCTGCTCGTTGAGTACCATTTGTTGCCCCGCCCCAAGTCGAACTGCATTGAGGGAGCACAGAGAGAGCTTCGTTTGCCGTGCGAGCTTTTTTCCTGTTTTTTTTCAACTTCTATTTTTACTCTTTTCAGGTGATTCCATGTATACTGCTGATGTTCTTCAGTGCAGGCTTAGTGAATAAAATTCGAGAGGCTGAACAACATCGACGGAAGCTCACCAATGTTAGCCTCAACAATGTGAATTCCTGCGAGAGCAATACATCCGCAAAAAAGTGAGTCTTGCCATCACACGGGGTCCCCTTTCTCGCTTCCCTATCTTGGCATTTCGCCTGGTTCATAGAAAAAAAGGTTATCGCACCTGAATGACGGATGACTCTTCACTTTTTGACCACACTTGGGAGGAGGTTGTAAATAGATGAATCCCGAGGGGGATCCCGCGATGGTTCCGCTGCTGCTATACCGAGAAAAAAAACGACCCGAGAAAGAGTTTTATGAAACCCGAGAAAGGGTTTCATTTTGTTGGGCTGGACATTTTGAGCTTCATGAATAGCCTTCCCTAACCATAGCGAGAGGCAGAAGTTGCTCTGAAATATGAATGGAACTCCACTGGCACTACTCTGGCGGCCAACCAGTAAGTAACCCTCTGCAACCTTCATTTTCCCCACAGCGGCTGACCACTTGCATGACGTACCTGACGGCTCTGCCCACACTCACAACATGACTTTTAGTTTTGAAGGTTCAGCGACGGTCAATGATGGGATCATCGTTGTCCCTTCGCCCCCGGTGCACCTCTCACTTCAGAGAAGGATTGGAAGAGAAGCATCCCAAAGAAGAGAGTCGATGGCAGCCCGACTCCGCCCCTCGTTAGCGTGGACTGTACGTTTCAGGGATTCA